TGTGTTTATCCAGCTGTGGGCTGGGCAGTTTGTCCAGAAGGACCCTGGCAGAGACAGGATCAAAAGCTTTGCTGAAATCCAAAAAGATCACATCAGCTGCCTTTGAGACAAAAAAAGTTTGGAACTGTCAATGTGGCAGTTATTAAACTGTAAATGTCATGACTAACACACTGAGATAGTTATTTTTATATCTCCTATCTATAATATTTGCTTAAGACTGCCAGATGTCTGTTTACTTTGGAACTTGTTATTAAGAGCTGGGACTTTTTTCATTCCAGATTTCTTGGTTTCTTTGAGCTGGCAATCCCCAGCTCTTGGATGACATGATGCTGCTAACCTGAACATTGCCTGGACTTCTTGCACTTTTGGGGCTTTTTCACCATGCCTGGAAAAAGGGTTGGGTTATGGTAGAAACCTACTGCACAGCAAGAAGCCAACATTTTAGATACTTAATAAATGATTTCATTTGAATTCTTATGACATTAAGGCACTACTGTGACTCGTTACCAATTCTTAGATGAAGTCATGACTGCTTAATGTACATCAGAGCCCAAGACCTGCAATCTACTTAGCACAGATCCATTGTCATTTGCTTCCATAACACAGAACTGTTTCTCTCCAAGCCTTCTTATAGACTTAACTCAGATTTGATCACCTGGAACCTCGACACTTCCCCTGTTTAGATCTCACTGTTGCTTTGTCCAGAGGGGTTGGAATTTTAAGGAAATCCCAGCTAACAACACAAAACTTAGCAAGCAAGAAAACAGAGGTTGAGATTGAAATAAAAGGAAAAAGCCAGTGACAAGTATGAAACCACCACGGTTATGCTGGTAACAACTGTTTGATCCCTGATTTATCTTTCTCCACAAAGAATCCCACACATAAACAAGTCAAAAAAAGGAACCTCCAAGAGGAAAAGAGCAAGCTTTGTGCATCAGCTTTCAGCTTTAAAATATTAATGAACTAGAGCTCTGATTTGGTGTGTGCTACACATGCTTACAAGAGTCACTCTTTAATGTCAAGGAACGTGTTGGAAGTACGAAATAGTTCTATTTATCTGTGACTGCAAAAACATTTACAGCTGCTATTTTTAAACTTCAGTAAATATCCTCAGGAGGCTCTCTGATGATTCAGTCCATCTTCACGCCTGTGTAACACTCCTTGTCTGATTTCAGCTTTAAGATTTTTTTCTTTAATTTGTTGTTGTGTTTGGAACACATGCAGAGTTTCACTGCACAAGAGCATGAAAGTGTTTTTGTGTCTTCAAAGCAAAAACGGCAGGAGCTCACAGGATCACTGTGTCCTCTCAGAATTTTAAATCCAATCTGGAAAGGAACAGAGCAACATTTAGGAATAGTTTTCTTTGAGATTATTTTTGACAGTTTAGTCCATGAGGGGGAGTACAAAAGCAGGAAGCAGAGGAGAATGTACCTTCAGTTCCACTTGCCTGTGCAAAGTTGACATTTTCTCCTTGGTACTACTTTGGAGCAGATTTACCAAATCTGGTTGAGAAAAAAAAAGTTGATGGATATGGATTGTAGTTTTGTTTTTCTAGAGGTTTGGTTTGGTTTGTTTTCCCAATTCTTCTTCCTCTCAAGTCTCCCTTAAGTCTTTTTAATGCTTGTTTCCTTGATTCTGGCCCATCCAAGGGGAGCACATCAAACTCTTAGGCCACACATTTTAGACAAGACTGTTAAAAATTTTGTTGAAGGTATTTTGAAAAGGTTTCTCTTCAGTCATTTGGGAGTTTGCTCATGACTGTCCAACATGTGTTGGTGTGAGCAGAGCTAACAAACCCCAGTTGCCACGTGCATCACACACACAGAGCAACAAGAGAGCTTTCCAACCCTCGGCCCAGAGCCCTGTGAGCACCCCCGGGCACAGAGCCCGGCTTGCACCAGCCTGCCCGCCCTCCCCAGCCTTCCTGCACCCTCAGCATGTGCCAGGGCTGGTTTGGGCAGCTGCCTGTCACCACAGCTGCTCCCCACTGCCATCAGGCAGGTCAGTATTATTTCAGAGTTCATACTGAACAGGAGCCAGAGTGTGCCCAGGTGGCCAAGAAGGCCAATGGATCCTGGCCTGGCTCAGGAACAGGGTGGCCAACAGGTCCAGGGAAGTGATTCTGCCCCTGGACTCAGCACTGGTGAGGCCACCCCTGGAGTGCTGTGTCCAGTTCTGGGCCCTCAGCTCAGGAAGGACATGGAGGGGCTGGAGCAGGTGCAGAGAAGAGCAACGAGGTCCATGGTGAAGGGACTGGAGCACAAGTGCTGGGAGGAGAGGCTGAGGGAGCTGGGGGGGCTCAGCCTGGAGAGGAGGAGGCTCAGGGGAGACCTCCTCACTCTCTGCAACCACCTGGCAGGAGGGGGGAGCTGGGGGGATTGGGCTCTGCTTGAAGGCCACCAGCAGTAGGACAAAAGGGCACAGGCTCAAGCTGCCCCAGGGGAGGTTTAGGTTGGGTATTAGGCAGAAATTTTTTCCAGAGAGAGTGCTCAGCCATTGGAATGGGCTGCCCAGGGAGAGGTGGAGTCCCCGTCCCTGGAGGTGTTTAAGGACAGACTGGATGTGGCATCAGTGCCATGGGCTGGGTGACAGGGTGGGGTTGGGTCACACATTGGACTCAATGATCTCAGAGGTCTTTCCAACCTTTCTCTGTGGTTCTGTTCTACAATATGACAACTGGGGACGAAGAGTGGCATAAACAGTTTTCTTTGTAACTACATAAAATAAGGCAGATTTTAATCATAGTATTAATCCTGTAGCACATTAGCCTTAATAATTTGTGTCAAAATGACACAAATGTCCTGCACAGGGCCAGGAGTTGGACTAGATGAGCCTGATGAATCCCTTCTAACTCAGCCTATTCTATGAAAGTTCAGTGGTTTATAGCTGTTACAGTAAATGCTGTATACAATTTGGACAGGTAAAAATAACTCTAAACACAGACAGATACTGCAAAATTGCAACGTGAAATTCTGCATTAGCTTCATTAAAAATACTTGCACTCAATGCAAATTTTACATTGCTTTGGTTTTTAACTTCTTAACTCAGACTCTCCAGCACTTTAGAGGTCCTAGGCATGTAAGAATATCACCATTCTTTAACAACATTTAAGTTTATTAAAATGCTTTGTTTAATGAATTAAAACAGAGCCTGTGGTATTTCAGATTACGCTGCCCAGAAAGGGGTCTTTTCAATGTTCTATAATCCATACATTTTGAACACATGAAACATCACAAAATAAAACATATGCACATACACTTTTGAAGAAATTCAATATGAATACTGTATCTATAGTGCTTCACATTATACACCACTGATCTACCATCATGGAGGAGATCAAACATTTGAGATGGAGTCACACAGTACTGAGGAAAGCAAGTGGCTTCTTCAATACTGGAGTTGTTTTAATCTAAAAAGGAAAAAGAAAAAGGAAAAGGTCACTCTGAACAGTAACATGCAACATTAAGAACATCTCATTACTCGAGTAGTCTCTTAAATCTTAGTTTAAGAGAGAGATCTGAGTATATGAGATAAAACATTTTCTCAGTGATGTGAGACATGCAGATGTGAAGATTTCCAAGACAACTGCCTGTACAAAGAAGTCTGTTTTGTGCAAAATGCAGAAAACCATATTTTAGCTATTCAGAAATCCAAGCAGTAGTTTGTTTTTTAATGAGAAAACACCAGTACATAACTGACTCTCAGTTGCAAAGGAATGGAAGGTACAGTCCATTCAAATGCCAGTCTTCCCACTGGCACACATCCATTCCACTGCACACCTCGACCCCAAGCACTTTGCCATGAGGTCAGATGGATCTATTTGAATTGAATCTTAGCAGACAACGTTGCTTTCAATGTTTCCAGGTAAAGAGAAGTAGATAAAGTTATAAAAATACTAATTCCTACCTGCACTTGTTCAATTTGTAATTCCAATTCAAAATCCCATCCAAAAATATCAGTCATCTTTAATGACAATGTCCATTAACTAACAGGGCTCTGTATTTAGTGCCCTTTACCTTAAGAGGCCTCTATCCTAAAACTAACTAACCTGTAGATTAGGATGTCTAACATTTGTAATTTTTCCTCACCAAAGTAACCAGCATTTAACAACTAATAAATTGATGTTTTAGTTACTCACTGCAAAATTTGCAAGTGTTTAAGTAACCTTTCTGTTTACCTTCTTAGAAGTTCTTTGGGTGACAAGCCTGTGGTATCCATATCACTGAGGCTGTCACTGCTCTCTGTAGTATCCGAGCTGCTGTCTTTTTCTGATTTTTTGTTCTTGTGTTTTCCTTTGTTTTTCTGCTTCTTATGTTTCTTTTTCTGTAAAAAGAAGATAAATAGTCCCTTATTTCCTTGTGAAAGACTTGGATTTTTCTAGATGTCAACAACAGAAAAAAGTTTGACCAAAACAGAACAATTACCAGTGACTCTCTTCCACTACTCAGACTGAGCTAAAGAAAATATAAACCAAGACCCTTATTTCATCTAAGCACTCAACTCCCTCTAAAACAGAAGTTTCATTACTGTTATTTGTATATAAACCAAGAATTATAATGCAGTTCCCAGAATGTGCCTGACACCTCCAGCACACAACATTAACCCACCCACAGTGTTGTGTCTGTAGCCACGTTGTACATATGGAAAAAGCAGCACCATAGTGGGATAACTTCCTGCTTTCAAAACACCCAAGAAATTCTGTTGCTTAAATTCTAGTCCCAGTATATGTATTTCCTGGCAACCTGGCATAAATAATAATAAAATTCCGACTGGCAGATCAAAGAATCAACAGACTGTTTATTTAAATAAAATACCTTTTCTTTTTTGCGTTTATGTTCTTTCTTTGTCTTGTGTTTCTCTCTTGTTTTCCTATGCTTTTCTTTCCTACTAGGCCCAGGAAAGCTTGCTGGCACCACTGTTTGCTGTTGCCAAGCACCTAAAACACAAAGCAAATGAATAAGCAGTTAAAAGAAGGACAAAAAAAGTAATTTGGTTATTACATTCTGTATCACTTTTAACCTAACAGGATAGTTAAAACAAACAAACAAAACTCCTAAGCTTTAAAATGGAAATGAAATGTCTAAAAATCCTAACTGTTGTAATTAAATGCCTTTATGTTTAAATTGTGTCATTAAATGTGCAGAATTTACACTCTAAAAGCTCACAGAACCTACCAGAAGAAAAAGCTGGAGGCAACTTTGGTCCAAATTCCTCTGCTGCATCCAGTTCCTGCTTTGAAGCAGACAACGAAGAAGTGCCAGGATCAGCTGCAGCAGCCACACTCTCTATGAAAAAAGCCAAAGAATTCTATACTTGAAAGGAAAATAAGAAAACACTTTTTCCAGGAAGTGTTGAAGAAAGTTAAAGGAGGCTTTCTAAAAATCTTTAAGAAAGCAATCCTGTACCTCTATGGATGCTCTGGCCAACTGGACAGTTGGAATTCTGAAACATGTCAATGTACTGTGGGGTTTTTTTCCTCCTTTAAATCAAAGTTTGCCTTTCACACTACACAATTATTAATTAATCAGTGCATTTGTTTGCTTTTATTTTTTAATGCAGAAATATTTTTCCATTACTTAGAATGAATAAAAACCTCCATGAGATGCATAAAGTTAATAAAGGCTAAAAGTTAAATGTTAATAGAACCAATTGTGACAGGAAGTGAACAAAGTATTTCCATTTTAAGTATGCTCTAGCACTAGATGTTTTCTAGATGTTTTCACTGTTTAACAAGCATATTCCACAGGGCACTTTGCTTGTAAAATCTACACAAGACAAATGGCAACATAAATAACACTATAACATGCAAGGCCTTATTCAGTGCTGTATTATTCACATTTTCTACATGCCCAGCCCCACTAATTCCAGATGATCTGCACAAGAGTGCAGTCCTAGAGCATGTGATTCATAAGTTAACCTTTTACAAGGTATTTATTTCATGTTGCATAAAAATGAACATCCATTAGGTACTACCTTGTACATTAGAGGAAGAACTGTCTGGTTTATCAACTTGCTTGGTGGTTTCTGACTCTGTTACTGAAGTCGTTGGTTGCTGTTCCTCATCACTCTCTTCTTCAGAGGAAGATGATTTTTCATCTGAGGAACTCACAAAGATGGCCTTAAATAAATCCATGGGTGGTCGTTTGCTTTCCTCTTCCTGATCCTTTCCTTCCTTAGCTCCCTGCTAAACAGCAAGAACAAACTGCATTTAAACACTAAAGAAAGTAACAACCTCTCTCTGGTAAGGAACAACTTCAAACGTGCTGGCAGGTATTTACAGATATTTACAGATATCACAACAGCTGTGGAATACACAACCTGAGGAACCAAAACAGTGAAGATGTGAAATGCTGCAAAACTAAGCCAGTGTCCTGTAAATGGGAGTGCAGATTGTGCTACACAGTTGAAAACAGAATTTGTAATATTTGGGGATCTAATTCATTATTTCAAACTTCAATTATATAATACTAAATTTAAGCAAAAGGAAAATATCACCTTCCTCCCCAGAATATGCACCCTCCTCCATTCTGCCTGTGAGCAGTGAGGGCGACTGAATTTAGTTCCCAGTCTGCTGAAGGACATTTTTTCTCCTCTTAAGCTGCTACTTCAAATACAGTCAAACCTGCTGTCCTTGTAAGCTGTAAACATTTTACATCTCAGAGTTATAACCTCAAAATTCTTCAAAGTACAATCTCATGCCTCTGCTCTTGAGTTGGCTCTTGAGCAAACTGGTCTGTATTAAATCAATTCATGTATTATCCAATCCTATTTCTGGGTTGTCAAGGTTCAAACCTTGTAAACTCACCTCAGTGGGAAGAGTTTCACTTGGCCCACTTGCACATTTTTCTGCTGCTGGCACTGGTGGTTGCTGCTGAACATCAGCTTTTGATCTAGCAAGACTAATGAATTCACTGATAGAATCTTTTTTCTCCTTTTCTTTATCTGACATATCCCACCTTGAAGGTTTCTTTGGTTCTAAAACATCCAAAACATTCAAATCAGTTGCATGCCAAATTATCCTGCATTTCACTGTCTGTTTGATTTTAAATTACTCTGCTTCTTCAGTTTGACATTTTTTAAATCTTTCCAATGAATATTCGACCTATAAAAATCTTCTAGGTAAAAGAAATTAGCATTATATCACTAACTTCGGTTTTGATGTCACAGAAGTTTTCTTTCAATTTCTTTATTTAGGGTTTTTAATTAAAAAAAGTTTGGTTTTTTTTTAATTAAAAAAGATGCCTTTTCTGTACTATTATCTGGTTTATAGTTAAATTAATAAAGTAACAACAAACTTACTGTTGAGGCTGTTATTCTCTTGGCTTTGTTTGTTTGTTGCTTGAGTTGCAGATGTGGTAGGCTCAGGGACAGTTAAGAAATTAAACACAGAATACTTGTCTCTTTTCACTTTTGGTAAACCAACTATGGAAGAACTAGAGGGAAATAAAAATGTTTGTTGGTTATTGCTTTCAACACACAAAAGGTCTCAAATTACCTACAATGAGCTGAAACACCTACAGCAGTCCCTCAAATGCATGCTGTTTTGTCAGAGGTCACCATGTTCCATGATGCAAATAAAAATACTGGCAGTTCTGTACCACATTATGACACAAGAAGAAAACACCAGGCCAGATTTTCCATCAGCAAAGGAAAAACTGAGAATTTTCCAATATAAAAACATAAATATCAGTTATCTTACTCAGGGTACGGATCACGAACGTTAAATCTTTTACACAGCAGCTTATCAGGGTGCCATTCAAACTTGTCTCTTGTGAGTTTGCCAAACATCTTCATCTTCACAGCAGTTTCCTTATCATCAAGATCATTCTGAAAACGTCAAACATTTACAGCTGCTAAGTAAGTCACAACTTACTGAACTATTACTGTTCTAAGACTTAAAAGAGACAGAAACACAGTATTTAAGTACTGTTTAACAACTCACTATTCTGCATGCAGTGAGTGTTTCCAAAAGGTGGGCAACACCTTCTGATGTCTGAATGTCTGAACATGAAAAGCTGGTTCAACAGAAGGGCAACAAAACAGTGACAAATCTACAGAAGGGCTTTAAAGAAGGAGAAAGCCAGGGCTGAGGCAGCAACTGCAGCTGCAGGGTATCCAGAAGAACAGCAGGTACCTCTTGGTCTCGAGGAACTTCGACTTTGTCAACGTCATCTTCATACTTGGCCCGTGTGAACCTGGAGGAGAGGGTGGAGCTGGAGGATCTGTAGAAGGCGGCTGCCCGGATGAACTCCTCCTGCTCCCTTCCCCGCTCCCACTCCGTCATATTTGGGTCTAAAAAACGCTCCAGTGCATCTGCTGTAAGGAGAGAAATGTTCAGCAGAGGTCACAGTTTATGAGCTCCAACACTTCTGAAACAGTAAGATCATAAGCAAACATCCTTGCAAGTATTTAATGAGTATTTAGCTTAAGGACAGTATTAATCTCAACTGTGGTAATCCTTGATAAATGGAGGTAGTTTTTCAAGGTGGCATTTGCCAAATGCAAAACAGGTATTTCAAATAATTTTGCTTGCAAACCTGACTCCTTAGTCACTGCCCTCTAAGGAATGATCAGAATACTTAATGTGTTTAAAAACAAAATGCAAAGATTTATCAAATAATTAAAACACACAACAGAGTTGACCAAGGAGTAAGCCTGGCTAGGCTTTGGTAACTTTAAGGAGCTTTCTGGTATATAAAGTGCCCACTGATAAATACAGAGTTTGGACACAGGTTTTTATATAAACCATAAAGACCCTGTTTACAGCAGCAGGTTCATTTTTTCTCCCAGAAGGAAGAGGAAATAACACCAGCCAAGCAAACACTCTTACAGGAAAAGAGAACTTTAATCATTCCAGTTATTTAAATATTCCTGCACTTTCATCATTATTACTAAGGAGGCATTTACAGCCATAACAGTCATAACTGAGGGTACTCAATTTTACACAGGGAAAATCCCAGTCCTGAACAGAGGAACTTTGGGTTCAAAGCTCAAGTAATCTGTCCCACTGTGATAACCAGAGGAGGCTACTAACCAGGAAATGTTTTTTCATAGAATGAAAAGGACTATTTAAAAAAAGCCAAAAACCAAAATAACAACCCACAACTAAAATAACAAACCCAGGTTTTCTATCTGTCACTTTATGCTTTCCTCCATGACATTCTGCTGGTGCCCATTTTCTTCTTCTCCAATGGCCCCTTTGTACTTACAAATTTGAAAAACAAACCAACCCCTTTTTGGTTTTTTTTTTGTTCTGTTTTGTTTTGTTTTTTTAATTTTAAGGCAATCTATATTCATAGGCTGCTGAGGAACTCCTTAGATCTGCTTCAGCTTTTTATGCCTTACAGAAAAATCACAGCACTGAAGAACTCACCTCAAGGCACTGTGGAATTCAGGAAGAGAACTCACAGTGGACATATAATGCATTGAAACCAAAAAAGGAAGGGGGAGGAAAAAAAAAGAAAATAATTAATCAAGAAATATTTTACCTTTTTCTCCTTGTTTAAGACTTTTCACAAAATTTTCATATCTTTTTTGTTTTTCTGGATTTCTTGCAAATGGTTTGAAGTCACTAGAACCAGCATTTGCCAACTGCCCTCCCAACAGCATTTGCCATTTGGGAGAAGCATCCTCTGGGGGGGCTGGCTGGAATCTGTTTTGTGGCTGCTGAGCTACTGGTTTTGCTTTCATTTGTTGTTCAGATGCTTGCTTCACTTCTTTGAGTCTTTCTCTGTCTTTCTCAGACAGATATTCCAAAACAGAAGGAGCTGGACCTAAAGTAGAAAAGAGCAGTAAAAGATAAACAGAAATGAGAAATTCCTAGAACTATTTCTTCCACTTTAGTGGAGGAAAAAGCCCTATCACTATGGGTAAACATTCAGAGAAAATGCTCTTAAGTAGAAATAAAAAATAAAATTGCAGAGAGGACAGATAAAAATTTGGCCACTATTACATCTTTTATGCTGTTTACCACATATTTACATATAACTTTATAAAGTTCACTATTGTAGACACAACGTGAGGCACAGCTACATATTTGAATGTATTTCAGTGAAACCTCATTTTACAGGAAAAAATCCTCAGAGCCTCCTACATTCATAAAAGGCCACAGGAAAACCCAACCAAGCACAACAAAACACAATCCAACACATACTTTTTGGCTTTAAAATATTTAAGTAAATGAAAATACAGCCACCAGCTATGCCAACAATTCAAGTGTTGAGATGAAACCAAGCACTGGAATGGTATTGCAGCTATGGGAACTAGATTTGGTATGTTTATATTAGAAAATAAGTGTTCAAGGCCAGTTTTTACTGCTACACAAACACAAGCAAAGGTGTGGTCACAGATCTCAGTACCTTTTAGCCCAGTCTCTCCCAGCAGTTCCCTCCTCTGAGCTGCATCCAAAGCATGCCTGCCCTGCTGTGCTGGATCACTCCCAAGCTTCCCTGTGGATTCCTCCAATGCCTTCTGTAAATGGGAGTTTTCTTTGCCAGCTGCTAGCACAGGTCGAAAGTAATGAACTGGTCTGTAATTTCGGGGTAGGTGAGGTGGTGGGTAAACCTTTGGGGCCACAGAACAAAAAATGACACTCAGAGAGAGAGAGAGAGAGATGACTTTGTATTTAACACTTACCAACGTGCTTCAGAAAAAGGCAGCTCAATCTAAAAATTCCTCCACTTACATCCTAAAAATTCCTCCACTTACATCCTAAAAATTCCTCCACTTACATCCTAAAAATTCCTCCACTTACATCCTAAAAATTCCTCCACTT